GGAGATAAGAAAAAAAAGAAAAAGAAAACTCATAGAGCTCCACTATACTGCAAGGCAGGGAAACTCTCTCTCTCTCTCTCTCTCTCTCTCTCTCTATATATATATATATATATATATATATATATATATATATATATATATTCGAAATTTGAGCAGCCCATGAAAAATGACTTTTTTCCCTCTTTCCTGCTGTGTGAGGACATGTGGGAGGGAGAATTGGAGATGTTCCCTGCTTTTTTTGCCTAGGTTCTGATCCAGGATCTGCCTACACTGGCTCTGTGACCTTGGGCAGTGTCTCTCCCCCTCTGAACCCGAGGCTCATGTCTGTAACCAGAGGAGACAGGCCCACTGATCCCCCAAGGACCCTCAGGCTCTCGTAGTATCCAATTCCAAGGATGGAAATTCCTTATCTGCTGCTCTCCTCCGCGTCTCATCCTGGTGTCCTGTAACCTCAGATAGGTTTTTGGCTTCGTTCACATACACCATCCCATCCTTGTAGGAGAGCCAGGAAAGAACAGCCAACCAGGACCCAGCTGGGAGTTAGGGTGCCCGAGAACCTACATCAGCTTTGCTCAGAGTCCAGGCACAAGCCTGGTGGCCCACTACCCCACATCCTTATTTGGTCAACCTGCCTGGCATCTATGGGGCACACCCCAGAAATGTTGGTTCTCTTATGTCACGTTGCAGGTGGCCAAAAGGAGGATCACAGTCTTAGCCTGGTCCAGAGAGATTGGATATAGGGTGTGGCAGGGATTTCCAGTCTAGTGTGAATGTGTCTGAGCAACATGCTCTGCCACCATTGGCTTGGATGGTAGCCCTTTCGGCTGACATAAAAGAAAACTGTATTTCGGTGCCTCTGGGGTTCAGATCCCAGCCTTCCTAGGGGAGTCACATAATTATTGCGGGTCCTGGGGTTTTCATCTCTGGAGGAGTGATGAGTCTTCTCTCATAGGGAACCCATGAAGATGTAGTTGGTGTACTAATATGTAGAGTGCCTAGGACAGGAGCAGACACAGAGCACAAAACAAGTGCCTTTTGTTAGCCTGTTAACTAACAGGAAGAAAAATCGGGGGGGTAGGTTGTACCTGCACTTTAAACCCCCAGTGTCTATTTGAGAACTAAAGCAAGTACTTGGTAAATAGCTGTTGCCTGAGGAGAAAGCCCAGACTCCACACTCTGCTTCCCTTCTGCTCCTCGCCACCTGTGACCTTGGGTGCATCCCCAGCCTATACCTGGGTTCTCTTGTCTGGTGCATGGGGTGCATGAGCTTATCCTGGGATCTGTAAGTGGTGTGGACACAAATTGCTTTGGGACAAGGATAAGATTCTGCAAGTACGTGGGAAATTATCAAGGAATTTTTAGTGGAAGCAAGAATAAAGAATAAAGATTCTCCTGAGTTTGAGTGCAGGGGGTGCCCTGGCTTCTTTTGGGTGGCAGGAAGGAGGGGCTGAGCAGAAAGTGTGGGGGTGGGGTGGGGAGGAGAGCCACCTAATGGCTTGCCAGCCCTTAGTGTTTCTAGTAACAGCTGCTTTCATGCCCGCTTCTCATCAGCTCCATCCCAAGCCCTGGCTTCCACTACAACTCAACTTGCCCTCCATTTTTTGAGATGTAGCTCAGAACCAGAGACAGGGTCTTCCAGCTGGCAGCTCCCAGGTAACCTAAATGAGGAGGAAAACCAGGGCATCCCTTGACCTGGTTCCCTCCTCCCTCCCCTGCTGTCTGCCATACTCGGTCTTCAAGAGCCAACTAAACTCTTCCAAAAGACCCATAGGCAGCTCCCAAGGAGCAGTGTGATGCCTAGCATCAGGTGAAATAAAGATAATTAGGACGAAGGGATAGCAACATGTCCTGGTGAGGAGCCCTTGAGCAGCAGCCCTGTAATCCTGAGCCGCAGTTTCATGGATAAAACACCCATGAAAACACGGGAGTATGGAAGGCAGCACCCAGTACTTAGTAAGTACCCAATGAATGGCAGCCATGAATTGTCCCTGTTAGCTACATTCTGAGTATGGCCTTGTATATACACACGCAAACAAATGACCCTGCAGGCTGAGTTTGTCTTAATGAAAAGCTCGGGACAGGAGATGGATTGGTTGCCAGACACGTTTGGATTCTGGAGTGTTCAGATAGTGTGGCCACAACCCTGAAAGGGTTTCAGATTTCCAGATTCGGGGTTAGGGACATTGTCTGTGCCAGGCAGAGTGGAGGTGCAGGGAGCTGAGACTTGGAGGCCAAGAAGCTGGAATGCTACAGGTCGGGACTCTGCAAGCAGGGGCAGGTCCAGGCGTGGTGTTGGCATCAGCAAAGGCACTGAGGCCGGAATGGTTCGGGCAGGTTTAGAAACAAGGCAGAGACCGGTTTGCCAGGAACGAGCAGGAACGACTCTTTAGGCCTCTAGCGTGTCTCAGGCTGGAGCTGGGCTCTGTGGTGTTATCTCATCTTCTCCTGGGATGACAGAGGACATGCACACAGAGGAGGCGGCTCAGGGAGGCCAAAGTCACGCTATGCCCAGGACTCAAGCTTCAACCCCGGTCGATCCGACAGCACAGTGAAGGCCTGGACCAAGTGTCCAGGGTCCTGGAGGGACAGGACAGCAGGGATAAAATAAGGGACTAAGGTGGCCTTGAGGGCCTAGTGAAGATGCAGGTGCCCCTCCCCCTTGCGTACCCCAACTCGAGAGGAAGGATTGAGGATGCCAAACGGGAGTGGCATGGAAGGGAGAGCTTTTCTCTGGGGCCCAGAATGTTCTGTGGCCAGAGTCTTGAGCCCCACCTACCAGCCTGAGGTTGCTTCAGCTTCTGTAGGACCCAAGCAAGTCACAGTGTCCCCCTGGCCTTTAGGACCAAGGCTGGATCCCCATCCCATCCCTGGGGCTCCTTTCCCTGCACGAAAGACCGTGAATCAGGACTTAGGCTCGGCTGTGCCCCTGAACCATGGTAACAGTCGCTTTTAGCTTCCCACAGCCCTTCCTATGTGTCAGGCACTGTCCTCCGCCATCTTCTTATCCATCTGTGAGGTGGGTGCTGTCGTATCCCCACGTCAGAGGCAGGGCTAGTGAGGCTGGGAGGCAAGGCTTTGTTTGACCCTTTGTGCCTAGGAAGAGAGGGATGGTCAAGAGCAGGGTTGAGTTCCCTTTGCTGGCAGCCTGTGCGGGGTACCGCTTGCTTCCTGCCTTGAATGCCGTTGAAGTTTTGTAAACACCCAGCATAAGATGGTGTTAGGTGCTGACTTCCTGGCTTGCTTCTCTCCACCGTCCTTGGGTGTCCCTAGCGCAGGGACTTCGCCTACTTCTGTTCTCACCCCCAGCACCAAGAACAGGGCCTGGGAGAACAAGAGAAATTCGTTTAGTGAATGAATAAGAGACAGGGGGGGAAGGAATGAATGAGGGGATAAACGAGTGAAGGAATGAATGAGCAGATCAGTCAGTGAGGGAATGAGGGAACTGATGACTATGTAGACTGCAAGGCTGCAGGAAGGAACAGGCCTAACCCCAGCGTGTAGAGAGGGGCTCTGCATGCATGCAGCCTTTGGGGCTTGTAGCCCCAGGTCCTCTGAGAGTGCAGAGCCAGTCAAGGCCTCTGTCCCTAGCTCTGCTTGTCTCTCTGAGGAGACTCGTGTTTTACACGGTTCTCTAAGTGCCCATCTGCAGGAAAAGAGAAGGAAGACACAGTTATAACATTGCTCCTTCAGACTCCAGTATCTAGGGCAATTACTTCCAGGAAGTTTAAAGACATTTATAGATGTGATCGATTGTCGGCGGCCACCCTAAAAGGCTGGGACCCAGCAGGGAAGACGGGAAACAGAAAAGGAGAGACAGGCCACCAAGAAGGGGGAAGGGCCCCACAGTCCACAGCTGTGGCCATGAGGGCCAGACACAGATGCACATGTGGCCGGGTCTCCTCCACTTCTCAGGCATGGATCTCAGGCTGGAGCTGGTCCTTCTGCCTCCACCCAGAAATGTTTGCATCCTGAGTGGGACCCAAATACCCAAAGTTCTCACAAGTTACACAGTGATGCCAGGGAATTGCAAAGAGCTAGGGCTTTTCAGTCATCCTGGAAAACGAGGGCCGTTGCTACCCTCTTTTACAAGTGAAGCCCTGAAGCATAAGATGTGATGTAGTACAGGGTCCCTCATGAGAGCTGAGCTTGGAGGTCCTACCAGGACCCTGTGCTGGCTTCCTCACTACAGCGTGTGTCCCCAGCCTGGCTTTCCACACTCAGTGCACTAGGAACATGGAGAAGACAGACTGAGGTCAGCAGCCACCCCATTTCCTGTGTGCCAGGGCAGGTCTCCCCGACCCAGCTCACTCAGAACTCACAGAGCTTCGCAGCACAGCATAACTTTGTTCTCTACACAGACGAGGAACCTGAGCCTCAGGAGTCATAGAAGCCTGTTTGGCTGCGAAGGCAAGCACACTTCTCTTGCCCACCTGAGTCTTAGATTGATCTGCACACCACAGGCGTGTGTGTGTGTGTGTGTGTGTGTGTGTGTGTGTGTGTGTGCTCAGTTGGGCATCCTTCCCCCTTGTGACCTTGACCCCGTGATGGCTCTGCTTGTCTATGCTTTGTGCCAATTGCAACTCAAGTGCCTGTGTCCTGTGCTTCGCTCCTTCCGTTGAAAATGTAGCTGTTATCTCCACAGAAGCGGAGGAGCCTTTCTGCTTCCTTCTGGCAAAATCCTTAGCAGCCAGCTACTTGTGTGTTTGGGGTGGGGGTTGATGGTCAGGTCATGATGGTCATGGGTGGTGAGAACCAGACCCTTTCTGTACATAGACACAGAATCCTGAGAACATCCTGGCGTTTCCACCTTCTGAATAACCATTCCCTCATCCATGAGGTTGGTGTAAAATTCACAGCTCTCGGCCTTCTTGCTTTGGCTTTTATGCCACCCTGCCCCTCCCTTTAGAAGGAATCAAATCCTAACCCACACAGAAATGGAACTGGGTGTGAGACTGGCGGGCAGGGAGGGCAGGAGACCCCTGCCTCACTGTGATTCCCACCTGTCTGCCCCTGTGGGTCTTGATATTGGGGTGCCCATGAGGGCCAGCCCACGGACCTCAGGGGGACAGTGCCTGGTTACATCCCACTGCAGCCTCACAGCAGCTCCAGGGGGTCTAGGAGACAAGGGCCACATCCTCACTGAGAGATGTGGAAACTGAGGCCCAGTGAACGTTGAGGGCCAGAGTCACGGGGCTTGCATGCCCTTGGTGGGATGTGACCTAGGTCTTCTTTCCACAGGCTTCCTCCCCGAAGCTGAGCTGGGCTTTTGGAGTTATAAATGTTTCCATGCTTAGCAATCTGCTCCTCTATTCCCGGGTGGACTTCCGCTAGCTCCGGCCTTATGCTGCGCTAGATAAGATGGAGCAAGGAGAGGATGCAGCGCTTCTTATGTAACCCTCCTCTTGGAAAAGGGAGCAGCAGTCAGGGCAGAACAAGGCGTCCTCTCTCTGCTTATCCCTCTCCTTCCAGGGCTGAGGCTGCAGCTGGAGTCAGATGCAGGGCAGAGACACAGCCAGGCTTCAGTTAGCATCCTCCCAGCTGGGACCCAGCCTCAGTTTCCCCATAAATAACACGAGGATCAGAGCCGTTGGGGACAAAAATGGAATAAGATAGCTGGCAGCGTCTGGCAAAGAGCGAGTCCCCAGGAGTGTTGATGCCACCTCCTTGTGGTTGCCTGGCTTGACCCCGAGTGACCCCGCCTCCTCCTTCTGCAGCAGGAGAAAGTGATCCTGTTTGCGGCACCTATCTATAAGAAACCGAGCCCTGGAGCTATTTCGAGGCGAGGTGAGGTGATGAGCCGGGAGCCGGCCGGCCCTTGCTATGGTCATCAGAACAGAGGGAAGGCAGGCCTTCCAGACGCTGACTCCATGAGTCTCAATTTCACTCGGGGCTGTCAGCCTTTGCTGGACTCACCTGTCAAGAGCTTCTAAATTTGTCCGGTCCCCACAGCATCCAGGACTGGGGCAGCCCTAATTAGGCTAATTTCAGTTTCCTAAGGGACAGAGCGGAACGGCCGGCCCTCTGTTTGCTGCCTCCCTCCGGCCACAGTCCCTTGTGTCTCCCTCTCTTTCTGATTGGACAAGGAAGACATCAGAAAGTGTCCTCTGAGGGGCTGGGGGTGGGCTTCAGACTGCAGAGTAGAGCTGTTCCTGCATAACTAACAAAAGGGAAAAAAACGTTCTAGATTTTTCCAAAGGAACACTGTCCCTTGTACCTCATCAGCTACTAAGTTGTACTCGTTCTGTGTGCAAGGTAGCTCTCACCTACATCTCATGCGGTCTTTCTCATGACCTTGGGGGTGTCCCCATTTTACAGATGAGGAAGTTGAGGTGGGGTTCTAACTTGGATCATGTCAGGAGCTTGCACCAGGTTAGTCGCTGGCTGTTTGGGTTTCCTGGGTGCTCTGCCTCCATTGTGCTTGACCTTGGTTTGGGGGTTTGCTGGAGGAGGTAGTTACTCCACAGCTCCCCTGCCAGGTGTGCTGCAGAGATTCAAGGGAAGTGGCGCTAGCAATCAGCAGCCTCCTCCTATGTGCCCAGCCTCCTCCCGTGTGCCGAGCATCCTTGTGGACTTCCTCCATTGCTCTTCAGGAAAGCTGTGTGAACCAGCATTATTCCCACTTCTCAGAGCAGAACACTGAGGTTCAGGGAGGCAGCATGGTAGCCCACGGCCACCTAACCAGTAATAATGGAACGAGACACAGGCCCAGGTCCAGGGTGGCTACAAGGTCATGGGCAGACGCCTTGGTGGAGACAGAGGATGAAGACCCGCACTAGCAGTGGGAGTGACAGTGACAGATGATGATGACAGGCCCCTTTGGCTGTGCCAGGTACCACTCAGGCGTCTGTGGGTCGGTCGGTCGGAGTGGCTTGAGGTATAGAAGTGGATTGATGAGATCAGCTGCCAAGAGCCGAGGGCTTTCTCTGCAGCAGGCCTGTGAAGGGCAGCCGTGGTGCTGACTGGACTGGACAGCCCCGAGAAGCAGCTAGTCCCATGGGCTCCGCTTTGAAGACAAGGAAACTGAGGCCGGAGAGTCTAGCCAAACTGACAAGGAAAGGAGCTGCTGTTCCCTCTCCCCCTGCTTCCTCCAAACGCCGAGTTAAAACGTTTTTCTGGATGTTCTGAAAATGTCCCTGAAAAAAAAAAAAATCCAAGGACGTGTTTTCAGCTGGGATTGGAGGGGTGACATCTGGTTCAGGGAACCCAGAGAATGGCAGAGCACAGGTCCCTGTTCCACCTTCCCATACCCAATTCGCGTCTGAGACCCTACCTTCAGATCTGTTGACCTAGACGTTCCCAAGTCTGTGTGCCTGTCATTTGCTTTTCTTTGGGGTGAGAGGAGATGTTTTAGAGGAGACCTTTGCCTGGAAAGCTTTAGTTAATTGGCAGTTCCTAAGAACGCCGCCCCGAGGAAGACACGAACATCCTAAAGAGGTACAGTGGCCTTGCTTTATTTGTCTACAGTGCCCTGGTCAGGGTTCCGGGGGAGATAAAATTAGAATCCTGTGCTCCCTGCAAAAAGCCAAGCGTGGTGGCCTTAAGGACATCCTAGCGAATTCACAGAAGATCCTGGGGTCTGATGTATTGGGCTTTTGGAAACTTCACGGGTCCAAAACATGCTATCAAGCTCCCAACAGCGTAGATTCCCACTCTGGGGAGCCCTCATCAATACCCTTAGTCTACTGCACCCCATCCTGGCTAGACTTCACCCAGTCCTGGGTAAATCACATCTGATCCCAGCTCCTGGGTAGGAGGTGAGCTCCTGAGGAGCAGTCAGGGGCCCATAAACCCTAGTGTGATTATAAAGCCCAGCTTCCCTCTGATAGCCCCAAGTGGGCAATACTAAGAGATTTTGTGTCTTTACAGAATCTGGGCCACTGCCTGGTCAGTAAAACCCACACAGGAACTTTATGAGGCTAGAGGACAAATTACAGCCCTACAGCTTACTTTCTATCTGCCCCTGACTGCTTTGGCCCCCATTTTCCCATCTGTAAAATGGGAATCACCTGTGTACCTCCCAGGGCTTGCTGAACTCTGAGGAGGACTCATGGGCAATTATCATACTTCATCCCTCATCCACTCATTCAACGTTCAGTTATTCTCACCTGCAGGTTACTAGGCCAGGCTAGCCTCAGGGAAAGGGGTGAACCAGGGAGACAGTGCGGGAGATGGGCAAAAATAAGCAAGAAGATAAGTAAGATCCTTTCACAGTGTGCTAAGACCCCCAAAGTCAATAAAAAATGGGCTAATGCGATGGAGCCAGTGGTGGCGATATTTGAGCCGGGACATGTGTCACTTTATACCTAGGTTAAAGGAGGTCACAAATCTCCCCAGTAAAGAAGGAATCTGCGAGTGACTGTGGCCGGAATCCCATCTGCTGTTGTGACCATGTTAGAGCTAAACTCTAGGGCCTCAGTTTCCCCATCAGTAAAACGCAGGCAAGAATGTGTCTATCCGTGGTAGTTCTAAGAATTCCGTGAGGCAGTACTCCCCGGATTCTGTCCATGTAGATGTTCGATGACTGTCTCACAGATAGATACTCGACGTGGACACCACAGACAGTGTTAATGAGAGTCCGAACACTAAGATAAAGACAGCTCACAAGCGCCACCCCTCCCTCACAGCCTTCAGGCTCACTGGGCTCTTGGCAGAGAGGACAAGAGATTGACGCCTGGCCTGGGGAGGCGGGGATTCTTTGAGTGTTCAGTGTTTATTTACTTGCGTTCCCATGAGTGCCTCTTATCACTCAACCCAAGAGCCTTTTGAGGTTTCAAGAGCTTCACCTGCACGGACCTTCAATGGCTCCCATCTTGAGTCCCAATGCAGACATTGCCTTAGGGACAAGAGGGTGTGGTGTCTATTTCTCAGATCAAACGTCAGAAAAGTGAGAAGCCCAGGCTTCGTTCCCTCACAGAGCCGGGACCAGGGCAGCTGCACGGGATAGCTGATGTTGCTGTCGTCAATGTGAGTTTTTAAAATGTTATTTATATTTGCAGAACACTGCAGATTCAGGAAAAGTCCCTTTGCCCTCCTGCCGGCTTCCCTGGGTGTTAACATTTTTGTAACCTCAGTACAGTGCTGACAAGTGAGGAGTGATGTACACAGACTGGACAGACAGGGTAGACTTCAGGGGTCTCCCAGGACCCTTTGGGGGCCTTTTGAAGCTGCTTCACGCTGGGTTTTCATCCGTCACTTTTCCTCCCAGGGTATTGGCCCTGTCTCCCTCCATAGATACAGAAGGGACCGAAGCATACTAGGTCTATTTCCAGGAAGGGGCCAAACCTATCACTCTGTTTTCACATCACCACGCTGCATTGTGTAGGGGTGATAGGAACTGGCAGACCAGAATCCCAGGGGGTTCTCAGAGAGACGAGGAATGGCGCATTCCACAACGACTCTGACTTTTTGGGTCAAACAGCAGAGATGTGCAAAGAACCTGCTGGGCTCGGAGGAGCCTCCGTTTCCTCCTCTGCCGATTAGGCGTCGGTGATAAACAATAAGGTGGCAGTCGGAGCCCAAGAAGATACTGTCCGCGCGGTGTTGAAAACAGCTGGTGTGCGGCAGACACAGTCATGGGTGCTAATAGAGTCCTTCTTCTTTTGCAGAGTTCTCCACTCTGGTGGCTGAAAGCTAAGTGGCGCTGACTGCCTGGGTCTCCCACCTCGCCACCCCCAAGGCCCCATCTCAGCCCTTCTCGCGGCCCTCCTGAGTTTCCGTTCAGTTTGTTTATGTTATTTTTTACTCCCCCCCCCCATCCTCTATGGCCCTTGAATGACACCATTCTTCTGGAAAATGCTGGAGAAACAATAAAGGCTGTACCAATCGGACACCGCCTGTAGGGAGGACCCAGGCCTGGTAGGGTGTTGGTTTGGCAAGTTTTTCCGAAGGCAGTGGGGGTAGTCTAGAAAAGGTGTGGTAGAGGGGAGGGCTGTGTCCCGATGTTCCCTCCCTGTTTGATACTGATGGCACACGGGCCACCTCGTTCAGTCCTTGTACCTATCCCACAAGGGACGTGATGGAACTCCCATCTTAAAGACACAGAAACTTTATTTAAAGAGAGGAAGAGAAGCATTTGAGCCCCTATATGATTCCTTTATGTACTCGGATAGTCACCTTCAGGAACCGCTAGATCAAAGGACACAAATGACACTCTATCAATTGCTTTTGACTTGGCTGCGATAAAAACCTAATGAGAGCAACCTAAGGAAAGAACGGTTTGTTTCGGCTCACTCCGGGGGTGCAGTCCATCACAGTGGGGACGTCAAGGGGGCAGGAATATATAGCAGGCCACGCTGAATCACATCACATCCGCAAGCCGGGAAGCAGAAAGAGATGAATGTTGGTATCCAGCTGGCTTTCTCCTTTTTATCCAGCCTGGATAAAAGTTCAGCCCATTGGGTGATGCTAGCCACATTTAAGGTGGGCCTTCCTACTTCAGGCTAATCTACACGCTTCCTCATGGGCATGCCAATAGATTTATTTCCTAGATCAGTGGTTCTCAATCTTCCTAATGCTGTGATCCTCTAATACAGTTCCTCATGTTGTGGGGACCCCCCAAACATAAACTTATTTTTGTTGCTACTTCATAACTGTAATTTTGCTACTGTTATGAGATGTAATGTAAATACCCATGTTCTGTGATGATCTTAGGTGACCCCTATTAAAGGGTTATTCAACCCCCAGTGGGATTGTGACCCACAGGTTGAGAACTGCTGTCCTAGATGATTCTAGGTCCCACCAAGCTGACAAGATGAACCATCACAAACACCCACAAAAGTGAGCCCCTCTAAGAACTGCCTCCCTTCCCCCTAAACTCGTGATTGGGTCAGCCCCTCTTCCTAGTGCTGGCAGGACTCCCTAGCAGCTCAGAGTATGCACACAGCATGTGCATGCACACAACAAGACCAGCAGAAATGGGCTCTTCCTTCCCCATCACCCACCCCAAAGGCCCAGACGCAGCTGCTCTGTTAGTCTCACTAACGTTTCAGGAGCATGTGTTTGCAGAGGCCTTTGTAGGACGCCGTTTGCAGAGCCCTGGAAGGTGTGCACTGTCAAACACCCCCAGATAGTCGAGGAGAGAAAGACTCAGGGAAGTTCAGTGTTTTTCTAAGGTCACACAGCACATAAGCAACAGAACCAGGACCCCCAAACCCCAAATCACCCCCAGATCTTGTTACCCTCTATGAATATGTCCCAGTGGCCAGAAAGGTCCTATGCAGAAAACTTGTGGTCATGCGCATCCTCAAATATGAGGTTCAGCCACTCCGTTCATTCTTGTCAGAGAGGAGGGAAAGACCCCTTTGGAAATCTGAAGCTAGGGTAGAGAGAGGCTGAGCAGGCGACACAGCAGCACAGGAGCCCCGAACCAGGGCAGGTGGCCCTGAGAGAGGTTCCTTTAAGTGTCCCGTGTGGGAGCGAGGGGCTAGAACTTCCTACCCTATGCTCTGGGGGATGGGAATGAGCAGACTGCAAAGTGGTACCCAGGCAGAGCAAGCAGAATAAGGCCTGGGAGGAGACCCAGAGCCACCCGGTGCAGATGTGCCCAGGCCCCGTTCTGCCTCAACGGCCAGCAAATGAACCGGAGGCAGAGCACATGGGAGTGCCACAGAGCACATGGGAATGCCGGGCAGCAGAGGGTAGACCAGTAAGTGTGAGTACACAGGCACACACGTGGGGATAGCCGGGACAAATGTCAGGGCCAGGGCAGACCCAGATTGCCACGAAGTTCTCCGAGTTCTCTACCTTGAACGCCGAGGTGGAAGCAGGGATGAAGACGAGGGAGCACCCTGTGCTAGACCGCAAGGAATGCAGGGAACTTCCAGCGAGGGCGCTGTCTCCTCAAAGCTGTGCCCCCAGTCATTGTAACTTGGGGTTGACATTTTTAGATGCTGGCACCTTTGCCTTGTGGAGGTGGGCGGGCTCCTTCCAGGCTCTGAGAGACGTTGGGGGGGGGGGGGACTCTGGCAGTCCCTGGACCACTGCAGTGGCCTAGCTTCTTAGCTTGTCCCTGCCTTTTCTCTCCTTCCACTACAGCTGCGCACTTGGAGAAGACAGCGTTTTCCAAAATGCAGGCCGGGTCACAGTGTTCAGCTAGAAATTGAGGGATTGCTCGATCTGTTGAGGAAATTGCAGCTCTGGGCACAGCTTCTGGCCTCAGAGTGGCCGGGCCTCCCCTGCACCTGCCTCCCTCAGCAGGGGCTCCACCTGGCTCTTCAGTTAGTCTAGGCGGTACCCAGTTGGACCCTTTTGCTCCTGTTAGTACCCACTCCCCAACCGCCTGTCTTGGCTCGACACAACTACCCTGACTCTTCCAGCAAGAGTCAGAATCCAGACCTTCCCCTGCAAGTGAAATGGGGATAGGAGAATGTGTCCTATCCCTTCCTCACAGAGGCCATGTGATCCTCACAGGCAGGGAAGGCCTGTGGGTTCCCCGCTAGAGCTCAGGACTAGCCCCGTTAAGATGCTGGGAGCCATCCACTGGGGTCTGGGGGTGCCCCGGGGGCTCACTGAGCTCTGTGACGATGTCAACCAAAAGAGGCCATAGGTTTGCCTAGCATGCATATCCAGCATTGCATGCGCAGAGTTTTAAAGGTAAAGGCAGAAGAACAGAGAAGAGTGGGGAGCTGACCTCAAGCCTCTTGCTTTCTCTTTTCCCATGAGGCCTCGTCCACAGAGATCTACTACCTCAGCAAGGAAAGGGGGGTGAAGAGGGAGCCTCCCCACTCAGCACACTCCCCTGCAGAGCCTGTCACTGGGCTAGGAGGTCCCCCAGTCACCCAGCTAGGACACCTCCATCGCCACCATTTTCACCCTCTCTGCATTTCCCCCCCCCCATATGGACAGGATCTACCCTCCTTTTCCTAAGCTCAGGCGAGCCTCCTGGTCCCCTCCACCCACTTCCATCAAGACTGAGCTGGGAGCTGGAAGGAGGGTATAGGACTGGGGAGGAGTCACCACGCCAAGTGGCTTTTGCAGTATCACATTACACACGGACAGTAAGGGGTGACTCAAGCACCCTGGCCCACAGTGTCCCAGGACAGGAGGCAGTTAGTGGGGACAGAGGAGCCAGGGTGGTCAGGAAGAAGAGGTGGACAAGGAGGGCTGGCAGAGCTGGCCGGGGCTCTCCAGCACCAGGGCCTTGGAGACGGAACTACAGCCACACTGTTGGGGATAGAGGGGTTGATTTCCAAACCTGCCTCTTCCTCTGCACACCAGAGGACCTGGGTTGGATTCCCAGCGTACATACCGTGGCACACCATCACCTGTAACTCCAGTTCCAGGGGATTTGATGCCTTCTTCTGGTCTCTGTGGGCACCAGGCATGGAGGTAGTGCATAGATACACATGCAGGCGAAACACCCACACACATAAAATAAAAGTAATAAGGCAGAAAGCAATGAGAAGACACACAGAATCGACTTCTGGCCTCCCCCGTCACACCTGCACACACATACACTTGTACCTACACACATACACGCACACAGGAGCCCTTATACACACACAACAACAAAACAGGGCTGGCAAGACAGATCAGTGAGTCCAGGCGCTCGCTGGCTGCCAAACTGACAACCTGGGTTCGAGCCCCGGGACTCACATGGTGAAAGGGAGAGACCTGAACCCCCAAAAGTTGCCCTCAGACCTCCACGTGTGCACCGTGGCACGTGTGAGTATAAATAGATAAATGTAAAATCAAACTTAAGAGCTGTCCAAGAGCCTGCTGGTCCCTTCTCCACAAGGAAGAGGCCTCCTCATGCATGAAGCAGAGACCTCAGCCAACCCCCAGCCTGCCAGAATCCTGACCTTGGATTTCCAGCCTTGAGGACAGTGAGCAGCCCATCATCTCTGCCACGCCCAAGCTGCCAAGTGTAAAGTGTTTGCTAAAGCAGCTGAGATGGACCGAGAGATGCAGGCGCCCAAGAGCGAGTCTATTTTTCACATGAGAAAAAGGAAGGTTCTGGGAAGTTGGGTAACTTCCCCAAACCACACAGCTAATACAACTGAAAATAGCAAGGCTTTTTGTCGCTCATTCAACCACTGAACAGGAAAAAAAAAAAAAAACACAGCAAAGAAGCATCCAGATGGAGATGACGCTTTGTTTAAGGGTATTGAGAGCAGTGGGGGCAGGGGTGGGGGCGGGGGTGGGGTTAACAACCACAGTGGGGTGGTTGTGGACTCACAGCGTGAGGCCAGGGGACACTTTGAAAGGCAAAAGTGAGGAGAACCACACAAAATCTTCAGAAACAGTAACCACCCCCAGTCACTGTGATTGCAAACGGGGGCAATGTCAGGTCAAGGGTAAAGACAGCTATAGGCAGATGTCCTTTTAAAGGTCAGAGGACAACTGCATGCTGCTGATTCTCTTTCCACTGTGTGGTTTCTGAGAACCGAACTCAGGTCATCCGGCTGGAGCAGCAGGTCCCTGGCCCCGAGGAGCTGTCTCCCCAGCCAATAGAAATAGCCACCACAGCCCTTCACAAGAAAGCCCTTCTTTGGGCAGGGTTGTGGCTGTGATAGGCTCTTTGGAGAGAAGCCTGGTGCTCTGCCTACCTGCATGCCTATGCACTGCCTGGCGGAGGTCAGCCTGGGAATCTGCTGGACTACAAACAGTATCAGGAAGTATCATATATAAAGTATGTATACATTGAGTTTGTTGGCTTTACACTGCTTAGCAGAGTACCCAAGAGAAATCAGCTTAATGCCACATCCCTCCAGAGTTCCTGTCGAATTCCAATCAGCAGCTCAGTCGATGAAGAGATGGGGCCCTGGGAGCCCTGCCTTATAAATAGGCTTGAAGGTGGTTGTTGATAAAAAATACTCAGTGTAAGCAT